GCTGCCGTCGTCGTTGACCTGACGATGCGCACCACCGGGATGATTACAGTTGTTGACCAGGCAGGACGCTGTGGCCGCTTGTTGAGTCTGCTGTGGACAACTTTGAATATTCGTCGCAAGGGTGTTCATCGGTTTGCTTTGATTCGCATGGTTCAATTGAGGGCAATGGGGTGACATCGGACTGCACTGATTAGTCACCGGAGATTGTTGGGCAGAATGTACGTTGGATATCTGACCGTTGGACGTTGCGATAGGTCTCGTGCATTGACCGGACGGGTTGCACTGAGCGCTCGGATGAGGAATAGTCGACGGATTGGGCATGGGCGCGGTTTGCTGAGTGCAATGCGGCGACAGTTGCTGACAGTTGTTCGTTAGCTGCATCTGTACAGTGTGATTCGACGGTGTGCAAGTCTGATTAGAATGATGACCACTGGCTTGGCCGCCGGTGCCGTTGCAATTCGCGTTCATTTGAGCCGCGCAACCGTAACTCGGATAGTAAGCATGGTGTGCGTGGCTCTGAGGACAATTTCTGGAGAGCTGTGCGGAGTTTTGGGGCAGATTTTGCGGCGCGTGCTGTGGCGCCAGCGCGCCAGCCGCGGGGGATGTCAACGGCTGATCGCTCAAGTGTGCCGAGGCGTAATGGGAACTTGGTGACATGACTTGACCCGCGGCCGGGCTTGCCACTTGTCCGCCGGTCGCTTGAGACCCGTAATTCGGCGGCGGGCAATACTGCGATGAAGATTGAGTCGCGCGTGAATTCGGGCATTGGCCGTAAGACGCAGACGAGGAATTCTGATAGTTCGGACAGGGTTGTTGTGCCACTTGCTGAGACGAATAACAGTTCTGCTGATGTGACTGATTGTAATTACATGTAGGCTGCACCTGTCGCTGATAATGCAAAGGATTCGTGCATATCGGTGACTGGCATATCGGTAGAGGACTGCCGCGATAGCTGACTTGATTTCCACCCGCTTGAACCTGTAATGGCAATATCAATTTCGAAATTAAAAGAAATCAGCGTGAGAGAAATATTATGGAACCTGAATAATGTATAAAGGAACACGTGTAATTACCTGATTCAAATACTGCATCATTTCGTCGGGAATAACTAGTTTGTTCTCCACCATTTCACCTTCGCCCACCTCGTCCAGAATCACCTCCTGATTGGGATGAAGCTCAGGTTGAAGCTCGGGCAGCTGTGCCGATCTCGGCCTCGGCGGAATCGGAGGAGAAGTCCTTTGGACTGGGTTACTGCGAATAGGTTCGGACATTCGTCGATCACTCGATGGTTGAGTACAATGACCGCTCGGATTATTCCAGTCGCTCGGCACCGCCTGAATGCTCTGCATAAAAATGTTGCGTTGTTTAAAATCGCCCTTTATCGGGTTTGTACTCGTAAAATCGTAGCAAAGCTACGTACCTGAAGAGACATATTCTGAGTTTGAACGACGAGATTATTTGTCGAATAAGGTCCCTGAAGATGACTTTGATCGATCCTGCTGGAAGTGGTGCTCATCTGGCTGCTTCGTCTAGACGTACCCGGACTGATCGGATCGTACAAACTTTCCGGTCCTGGGCCCATTCTAACGGCGTTAATGACGCTCGCCTGGCTGCTCCTTCTGCTACTGAAATCCGTCGATCGCATGCTACCGTAATAAGTGCTGACGGTGCTGTTGCTGTCCCTTCGCGGCTCGCCGAACGGCTGCAGCCTCAGCTGAAGATCAGACAGACTTGTCTGCCGCGTCTGGCCACCGCCACTCTCCATTTTCAGATCGGTGATCCTTTTATTGAGGTCACCGATATTACCCTGAGGTGTGACACCGCGGGTCCCGCGCATGTTCGCTACGCCTACCATCGGCATACTCGGCATGCCTTTGGCGTTCAGTCTTCCTTTCAGACGATTTCTCGACGTGGGTACCGGCACTTGCAATTGCTGCTGCGATTCCATACCGCCGACCTGGC